GGGGGAGGGAAGGAAGGAAGCGTTTGATGTGTGTCGGTATCGGAGGAGAGCCGTAGAGAGACAGAGGTCTTTTAGACGGAAAGGCGATAATGGATCCCACTAATGATGTGGCCTTTGCTTTCATGACTCCCACAGTAACACCGACCTGGTTCTACATTGATTAAGATTATGATTAAGATGTTGGCGCTGAGGAGGGTACGCGTCTTGCCGGTTCCTGGTCAACTATTCTACTGAGCATTTACTTAATGTTCGTATTTTTATCTTTTATTATTTCTTATTGTTGTTGCATTGTCGAGAAGAAACCTGCAAGTAAGCATTTCGTTGGACAATATATACCATTCGTATCCCGTACATACGACTAATAAAACTTGAAAGATGAATATTCAGGTACCTGACGTATTGAAAGGATAACCTTGGGAAGCTGAAGGTTGGGGATGTAGGGATGCAGAGTGTTCTCTGAAGGTGTTAGGCAGGAAGGCAACGCATCTGAGGACATCACATAACAATGTATTAATATCCATTATCCACCTTCAATCTGCTCTCAATGGCAGCTACTGTAATGGAAGATAAAAAGAACTGAGAAAATAGTTATTGAATGAAAGGAAGAATATTTCAGCTATGCTATCCATCACAATGAATGTGTTAAGTCAATGGAGACTCACATGCTCATTTGATTCACCTGGGTTTTGTACTATTGCTGCAATTTGTGACACAGCAATAAAAGACAAATGAACACACTGTTTACTTGCATCACAAGTTCACCATGGACTTTGTGAATTCCTAACTTGTAAAAAGGAATTTGCTGAACCTCATAAGGAAGCAAATTTTAACAATCTATCATTGTTTCACAGCCTGGAGAAAATCTATAGAATAGTTCATTTGAGAGTGGAATTGACTGAGTATGAAATTGCAATCAAACAGCAACATATATTAGTTTCAACCAAATTCATGGTAGAGACATAAATGTTGTTTACGAAACGAAACACACAGCTTTTTACTGTAAGGCATTTTGATGCTATTCAGGGTATTGCCCTAGCACCCAGAATGCATTGGTAGCCAGATAAACTAGGAAAGAGAGAGAACATGTATTAGTAAAGGCAAAGGTTAATTTCCTTTTTATTTGAAATATCAGTGAAATACTGAGATTTTTATAGCTATGTATTGCACATGCAATGACCTATCCACCTGGTCAATCCCATCTAAATTCAAGTCAATTCAGGAATTGAATTGCATTCCAGTGAAGAAATGTACTCAACTGTATTCAATTCAACAGATATGAAATGAACTGGCATTGACCCCAACGAGGCTCACATTGGAATTACTGATTGTACTAATTTGAGGGGAATCCAGCACAGGGTAAAGCTGGCTTTAATCCAGCACATTAAAGCCACACAATTAAATATAACACTATTATACTGTTTCTCTATCGGTAAAGCTATGGTTGTGACAGTGAGCAGCATCACTAACAAAAGCCTGGTCCCAGATCTGTTTGTCTATTTTTCTGGCGTCTACGCGGAGCAATGCTGGTAAAATAAACAGATAAATTGCGTCTGTCATTTGTAGAAAAGGAATTAGAGGAATTTTTATGATCTTCCCTATGCTAAGTAGACTAAATGTGTAGTTTAAAATTTATTTTTTAATGTATTGTAAAATGTAAGCTAAGGTTTATCAGTCAAATAGGCTACATATTTGAAAACAATTGCAGCCTACCTGTGTTGATTTCGATCATAGGCATATAGCCTAGGCAGGCTTGCCAACCCCATACAATGTGACAATTATCATACAGTAGGAGTTGGCCAGACAGTACAAAGAGATCTGGTACCAGGCTAGTGAGCAGAGCAGTGTCAGTGACAACATAGTGCTCCTGACAAAAACAGCACTTAGCAGGAAGCAATTATTAGACCTCAGGAGATTTCAATTACCAGTCTGATGGGGTTCCAGATCAATGGTGAAGCATGTATCTAGATGAGATAGTCCAAGAAAGATGCTACAGTGTGTGTGTGTGTGTGTGTGTGTGTGTGTGTGTGTGTGTGTGTGTGTGTGTGTGTGTGTGTGTGTGTGTGTGTGTGTGTGTGTGAGCCATTGGAGCCAAGCAGTGCTGTGTGTAGTGGAAATGTTATCTTAGTAATAGTGTGGTGTGTCCTGTTAGATATGCATGTGTTTTTATATTCAACAATGTCAACTGACATACAAGATGCACTGAGCCATCATTAGGGTTAGGAGATCAAATAAGGCTCCGACACCCGAACAAGATTAGAAAATGTCAAACCGAGTGCCATCACCTCCCTCAGCCTGCTACAGAGGAATAAAGAGAAGCCCAGACACTACAACAACCAACCCTCCAAGCCCTTCTCCAGTGCATACTAATCTAAAACAACATTGTATCTGGCTGTATGGTTGTATGGTTTTCTCCCAGCCCCTCTGAGACGTATCTAAGTGTGAGAGGAGACAGGGGCCTTGCAGTTCTCATCAGTTAAGGGGGGTGGTGGGCCGTGACCCACATCTGGGGCCCCTCTCTCTGCAGGTTCCTATCACTTCCCTCTGTAGATTGGAAGTGACAGGCCACTCAGGCAGAAGTGTCTGCGCCCCTCTCCCATTAGCAGCCGCACAGCCGTCCGCCGAGCTGTCGGCCTGATTACACATCAACGGGAGAGGGGGACGGGGGGGAGGGGATGGGGGGGATGAGGGAGGGTGGGGTGGACGGGGGGGGGGGACCCCGGGAAAGACGACACACTAAACACAACGCCTGTCTGTCCTGTCTGTCCTGTCCCACTGGTTGACTGGTTCAATCACATCTGCCAATAGACACGCCACCACCACCTGTCCAGCTCAGACACTCCTCTCTATGTCGCAGAACCAATCTATCTTTCCTAGCAACCCCGCTAAGAAATCAACCTAGCACATAGTTCACTGACTCCCTACTCACCCCACTACTGGGACCATCACAACACAACTCATTTACCAACTTTTCAGGTGCTGCAGGTTCATTACTTAAATAGACCCCCCCCCCCCCCGTGTAAAGCAGCTGGTGCGGAGGAGAGGAGAGGAGAGGAGATGCAGTGAGTCAGCAGCAGTAGGCCTTCTACCTGATATTACAGCAGGGGGAACTCACTCCATTACTTGGGTCTGATGCATCAAAGGGCTACCTCCTCAACAAGCACTAACAAAACATGTTGTCTCGTTTGCTTAAGCGTTCACTCTCTCTCTCCCCCTCAATTCAATTTCAATTTAAGGGGCTTTATCTTTCTCTCTCTCTCTTCCCAGGTGTGAAGCTAAGAGGAACAGCTCGGCAGTCCAGAGAGGTACGTTGTTTTCTACTCCTCCTCGTTCTTTCAAACAGACAGAGAGAGAGAGTGTGTCAGTTTCTTTCTTATATCTAATAAAGTGTTGAGTGGCAGGGCTGTTTCTCTCTCTGTGTGTGTGTCTGATAACATCAGTATAGAGAGGCTGACCTGAGGCCTCCCCCTAATGGGCAAGCTCTCTGCAGCCCATGGAGAGTAAAGTAGTCTTGGTTTATGCGAGCTGGAATGGCTCATAGGAGCAGGAGCCTATCTCCTGTTTCTGTAGCGTGAGGCAGCTTGATGAACAAGTACATCCCCTGGAAAGGATGCTAGTCTATTGCAGGGCCTTACCCCCAATATATCTCCTTAATGCTGAGTGCCAAACAGACTGAGGTGCATTTTTACAGTCTTTGGTATGACTCGGCCGGGAATCGAACTCCCAACCTTCCAGTCTCAGGGCAGACACTCTAACCACAAGGCCACTGAGTTGGTCCAGCCCAGGGAGAGCCCGGGGTTAAAGGCTCTGTTGAAGTCTTGGTGTGAGGCTGCAGGAGAGAGAGAGAGAACGAGAGAGATAGGCCACAGCCAGGGATCCGACTACTAGATACTGTAATACCAGCCTGGAGATGAGGGGGTTGTGTCAGTGAGTAGCTGTAGGAGAGAGAGAGAAAGAGAGAGGGGCACATCCAGGTGCTCAGACTACTACCCCCTTTAATACCAGCCTGGAGATGAGGCTGGTTCAGTGTGAGGCTGTGAAGCTGCAGGAGAGAGAGAACAGCCAGGGCTGGTTGCTACGTCAGGCACGCTCCTTCTGGTTCCTCTTTTTCCTCCCGCTGACCTCAGTTTGCTCTGGTCTCCCGCTCTCAATAGAGATGAGAGACTTACATTAGTGTGAAACCTGCATGTGGGTGTCTGATGTGGATTGGCTACACTGTGGCTGATCCTGCTCAGCTTCCCAACATGAAACGGTCAGGGAACCATTCCTACTACTCCTTCCTCCTTTGGAGATTTCCCAGGGGATGTAGGTGGGAGTACTGGGCATCTGATCCACTGGATGTCAGAAAGGAGATGAGCACTGATTCATGATGTGCTCCCATCACCAATTAGGATTATACATGCAATCTTTTAGCTTTATGTTGCCATAATGGCTTTTAATTTAAATAAAATGTCAGAATGCATGATAGCCTCAGGCCATCTTACCATGGTAATCTGCCTGTAGATGATTCTAATTTAGATTTCCTATTAAGTGTTTATAAGACATTTATACGACATTAGAGCTCCGTTTATTGGTAGTTCACCCAGAGTCATTTACGGTGTGTGGCATTTCAATCGGAAAGGTTGAAGAGTTGGTCACGAGGTAGAGAAACATCACCACCAAGTGTTGTGTCTGAACACTGCAGAAATCAGGAATTTATAGATTCATTCTCTAAAGTTTTTTCCCACCAAAGAGTGTTGGTGATTTAGCTCACGGAGTGTTTCACTGAATAAACATATTTTCATTTTGAATGCCAGAGAAGTTTAAATAATCAACACCTGTTCAATCAAATCAATAAAATGTATTTATGAAGTCCTTTTTACATAACCAGATGTTACGAAGTGCTTATACAGAAACCCAGCCTAAAACACCAAAGAGCAAGGAATGCAGGTGTAGAAGCACCTGTTATTGAAGTCTTGCATACATTTTATATCTTGCAGTGCCATGTGTAAAGTCGATGTGTTATGTTTGTCTGTCAGGCGCTGTGTACTCAGGACGGTGAGGGTGTGAGGGTCGGCCCAGGCCATGACCAGAGACTGGCTGTGGAAGGCCTAACCAGCCCCATCCCCCCCATGCAGTTCCCTGCCTTCGAGTGGACCAGACAGTCAGCTACCCCTGGCTCTAGGGAACAGGACATGGGCTCCCTGCGCGTCACCAAGCGCCACAGGAAACTACTGAAAACCAGCCCTGTGGTCTCTAACAACTCCCACAACTCCTCCTCCTCCTCCTCCTCCTCCTCCTCCTCCTCCTCCTCCTCGGGTTCCCCAGACTCTCCTGAGGAGAGCTGGCAGTGGCACAGACTGTCCCACATCCAGGAAGCTCGGCGGAGGCTGATGAAGGAGGTCTGTGCCAAGTACAAGAGCAGCATTTCCAGGACAATCACACCTCACCACGTGTCCCGGATCTATGTGGAGGACAAGTACAAGCTGCTGTACTGCGAGGTGGCCTATTGATGATCTGATTATTACATATTGATTATTGGACTTTTGAATATTGCTGTTATATACTGATATTTATGTTTTTGCAACTTATAATGATTATTGGTGTATTTTGTCATTGTGACTATAATGCTGGCTGCAATGATTTGACAAACCAATATCCCCATGGCGGATTAATAAAGTATTTTTGTTATCTTATCTTATCTCTTTAGGTGCCCAAGGCGGGCTGCTCCAACTGGAAGAGGATCCTCATGGTACTGTCTGGCCTGGCGTCATCCACCCACGAGATCAAACACGACGCCGTCCACTACGGCAACCACCTCAAGAGGCTGGACAGCTTTGACCGCCAGGGCATCACGCGGCGCCTGGAGACCTACACCAAAGTCCTGTTTGTCCGCGAACCCCTGGAGAGGCTGGTGTCCGCCTTCAGGGACAAGTTTGAGAATCCCAACACCTACTATCATCCTGTATTCGGGAAGCCCATCATCTCCAAGTACAGGGTAAACGCCTCCAAGGTGGCCCTCAGGACGGGCAGCGGAGTGACCTTCCAAGAGTTCATGCAGTATCTGTTGGATGTGCACAGGCCTGTGGGCATGGACATTCACTGGGAGCCTGCCAGCCAGCTCTGCAGCCCCTGTCTGCTGGACTACAACTTCATCGGCAAGTTTGAGACCATGGAGGAGGAGGCTAATTTCTTACTACATAGGACTGGTGCCCCACATAACCTCACCTTCCCCAGTTTTAAAGACAGGAACCCCAAGGCTGAGAGGACTTCAACTCATTTAACCCATCGCTACTTTGCACAGCTCAGCACTTCAGAGAGACAGAGAGCTTATGACTTTTATTACATGGACTACCTTATGTTTAACTACTCCAAACCTTTTAAAGATTTGTATTGATTGACTCTCTAATCTCTATTTGAGTCCTCAAATCTCCCCTGGTTTTAAGTGGAGAAGTGCACCATAAAAATGACTTCCTTTTAAAAGTATTACTAGAAGATCATCATATGAAAACAATGCCTCGGTCAGGCATGTCAATGTGGTACTAAATACCGATGCCTAACTACAAAACATTGAACTCACAAACAATTTATCACTGCACAGTCAGTGATGTGAAAAGACAGTTCAATGTTTTAAAATGTGTTAAGTGAAGTGGTACCCACCTATCATTTTTGCACTTAGTGTAGCAAATTTTTCAAATTCTCCAAAAACATATTGACACAGACTGAGCATTAGTCTGCCACACCTCTGCTGAAGAGTGTGCCTGGGCGGTCATATAGGAGACCATCCCCCTTAAGTATCCCTAAGTACTACTTTACCACACCATCTCACTACCCTTTAGAATACACATCCTCATCACTGTCATCAAGGCGTTTTCTGACACTGATGTTTAAAAACTGTACAAAGGGCATTCAGATGACTATATATATTTTTCTATGTATTTCTATAATGGATATATTCAGTGCTTCTTTGTGGGGATTTTCATTTCTGAAATCACTGATTGTTATGTCAGTAATGATATGGTGAGTGTGTGTAGAGAATATCTGTCTATATTTATGCCTCTTGGGTCCCCCTGTACATCAGACCCTGTAAAACACATGTCAAACTCATTCCATGGAGTGCCAAGTGTCTGTGGGTTTTTGCTCCTCCCTTGCACTTGACTGATCAATGAAGGTCATTGATTAGTTAGGAACTCCCCTCACCTGGTTGTCTAGGTCTTAATTCAACACAAATATAAAGGGAATAACAAAAACCAGCATACACTCGACCCTCCGTGGAATGAGTTTGACACCCCTGCTGTAAAACAAGCTGGTTAACACATGGACACGTAGAAACTCCACTCCAATCTTTCCCTTATTCCCCAATATATCACTGCAGTGTTAGAGAGAGCAGAACACTGACACCGTCTCTTATACTGACACTGACAAAGTCACAAAGCAGCTTATCCTCCCCATCTCTGCCTGTGTGTGTGTGTGTGTGTGTGTGTGTGTGTGTGTGTGTGTGTGTGTGTGTGTGTGTGTGTGTGTGTGTGTGTGTGTGTGTGTGTGTGTGTGTGTGTGACAGAGAGAGAGAGAGAGAGAGAGAGAGAGAGAGAGAGAGAGAGAGAGAGAGAGAGAGAGAGAGATGTGTGTGAGAGAGAACAACTGGAGCTGCTGCTATGATCTCTTTTCATGGCTCTGTGTGGAGCTCTCAGAGCTGAGGAGGAGTAAGCCCTGGCCCACAGCCCAGACACACTCAGATCTGCTACTGTAGGTCCCACACAAGACAGACAACTGTGAGGACAGCTTTACGATGAGATCTCTCAACAGGGTAACAACTAACACAACCCATAATAACACATAATCTACTGTCCCACAAACTGTACAGGCAATGGGTTGTAGGATCTGTGTGATAGTGTTCAGAGAAGCCAGCAATTGGAGCAGTATTTCAAAATATCCTCTTTTACCCCCTATGAACAACACTGATTTATAGCGCCACAGTAGAGTACCACAACTATTCTGCACAATGGAATGGCAGGGAGCGGCAAGCATACTTGGGGCCAATCAAACACAGTTTCCTGGATAAGTCAGAAACATGATTCTTCCCTGGCTGCTAGAATGCTTGGTTGGTTGGCTTTGTGAAATCCGTCTGTAACAGAAGAAACTCAATTGCGTATGCTGTTGTGTTGTGAAGTGTATACAGGTCATATTATTGACTTGTCCCTGAAACGTGGTTGCTGGTTTTAACTAAATAGTCCTCTAATAAGTAAGCAGAATGATCCTCATATTCAATTGTGTTCTACTCCACAGCTCTAGTTAGAATGAATAACCCAGACAAGCCAGGGAGTGTGTCTAAAAGGATACAGCACAGAGGGATATTCCTTTCTCTATGTCACCAATGACAAAGAAATGCACATTATTTGAATTATATATAGACACTATATTGAGATTTAAATATATTTTTTAAGAAGAAAAATAAAGAGATTACATATTTATGATGGCAAATATTATAGGATTATGTCAATGTAGTGTGTTGGCTTTTGCAGTTCCAAAATCTATATGTTGTTTAGATGGTGGTCTGATTCTATGTAGTTAGCCAGACATAGCATAATATAGGTGTTACTTTAACCTACAAAATGCTCCCTCACTCACCAACCCTGTTCTATGGGGTTTCTTGAAAATGTAAGTATGTGGGTATGGGTACAACACAGATATATCAAAACTATTTACGGTAACAAGTGAATGTATAACTGTTTTATCGTTGGTGCAAAAGTGTATAAATACCTGTACATGGTCTGGAACCCTTTGCCTTATTTTACACTGCCAATCAAAAGGTGTATTTCAGGAAGACATTCTGCAGGTGGTTGGTTTCTTTCTGCTGAGTGTCTACTAATAAACTGTCTTTAGCATTTTCACAATGTTGCTTCTTTTTCATGTTTAACACTCTCAACAAACCATTGAAATGATTTTGTCCCCAACAGTTTCCACAGTAATGCATGTGGAGACAGTCAAAAATAAGTTTTTTTCAGGTAAGAAGACACACTCAAACCAAAGTTATGCACCCCTGGTTTACGTATACTCTTTTATTTTGTCTTTCCAACATATCCCTATTCCAATTCGTAGGAGAGGAAAGAAGGCCTAGAAAGGAAATCACACTACAAACAATCTTAAGGAAATCGTGAATGTCATGGACACATTAGAACTAGTAGATATATGGAGGCTTAAATATCCTGATCTAGTGAGATATACATGGCGGAGACTCAATCAAGCTAGTCGTCTTGACTTCTTTCTTATGTCATTTTCGTTGGCACCAAAAGTTTAAAAAGTGTTGATAGGGGACAGAATGTGGTCGGACCATCCTATAATTGGCATATACATTACTCTTACTGAATTTCCACGTGGGCGAGGATATTGGAAATGTAATCAAAGCCTATTGGATGATAACTTGTTTTTAAATAGGACAGAGGAATTTATAACTAATTTTTTCTCGACATAACATAGGTACAGCAAATCCCCTTATTGTATCGGACACCTTTAAATGTGCCTTTAGAGGCCATGCAATTCAGTACTCATCTCGAAAACAAAAGCAATTTAGGTCAAAAGAGTCCACACTAACAAAGGAAATAGAAGGTCTAACAGAACAGATAGATAGCAATAAAAACTGTAACATAGAGGATCAGAATAAATTAGAGAAAAAACTAAAAGAAATGGAGAAACTTATTCAAGAAAGATCAAGTGTAATATATTATAAAAATAAAGCAAACTGGATGGAATATGGGGAAAAATCTTTTTTAATCTTCAACATAGGAATGCTACCAAAAATAATTTATTGAAGCTGGTTACAAATGACGGAGTCACCCATGATTCACTAAATTATATTTTGTAGGAGGAAACAAAGTACTTTAAGCATATGTTTTCGTTTCAGTCGCCTCCATCTCCTTTATCTGAAGCAAATTGTAGAGATTTTTTTTCTATTGATAAAGTAAAATTAACAGCCATGCAGAAAGACTCATGTGAAGGTGAAATTACAGAGGAGGAACTTCTAGATGCAATTAAAGACTTTAAGTCCGGGAAAACTCCAGGGTTGGATGGCATACCAGTCGAGGTATACCAAACCTTGTTTGATATAGTCAAAAAAGGTTTGGACCGTTATTAGCATGTTTTAACCACTCCTATGTAAATGGTAGATTATCAGACACTCAAGAAGAAGGTCTGATATAATTATTACTGAAACAGGATACAAGTGAAAAATATAAAGATCCAGTCCATTTAAAAAATTGGAGGCCCCTTACACTTCAGTGTTGTGATGCAAAAATTCTAGCACATAGAATTAAAAAGGTATTGTCGGACATTATCCATTCTAATAAGACAGGTTTTTGACATGGGCGATACATTGGAGATAATATAAGGCAAGTATTGGAAACAATAGAACACTGTGAAAAATCTGGGAAACCAGGCCTACTATTCATAGACTTCGAAAAGGCATTTGATAAACTACGACTGGGGTTTATATATAAATGCCTGGAGCATTTCAATTTTGGACAATCTCTTATAAATTGGGTTAAAATCATGTATAGTAACCTAGGTGTAAAATAGTAAATAATGGCTATTTCTCAGAAAGTTTTAAACTATCAAGAGGAGTGAAACAAGGTTGTCCACTATCGGCATATCTATTTATTATTGCCATCGAGATGTTAGCTATTAAAATCAGATCCAACAATAATATCAAGGGATTAGAAATCCAGGGCTTAAAAACAAAGGTGTAATTGTACGCTGATGATTCATGTTTTCTTTTAAATCCACAACTTGAATCCCTCCACAGCCTCATAGAGGATCTAGATACATTTTCTAACCTATCTAGATTACAACCAAATTATGATAATGTACTATATTACGTATTGGATCACTAAAAAATAAAAATTTTACATTACCATGTAGTTTACCAATAAAATGGTCTGATGGTGATGTAAATATACTTGGAATACATATCCCAAATTAAATAAATGATCTCACTCCAATACATTTTAATAGAAAGTTAGCAGAAATAGATAAGATCTTGCTACCATGGAAAGATAAATACCTGTCAATTTGTGGAAAAATCACCCTGATTAACTCTTTAGTATTATCCCAGTTTACCTATTTGCTTATGGTCTTGCCTACGCCTAGCGAACAGTTTTTTTTAAATATATGAGAAAAAAATATTCAATTTTATTTGGAATGGCAAGCCAGACAAAATTAAACGGGCCTATTTATGTAATGAATATGAATTCGGAGGACAGAAATTATTAAATATTAAAGCATTAGACCTATCACTAAAAGCTTCAGTCATACAAAAGTTATACTTAAATCCGAACTGGTTCTCTAGCAAATTAGTAAGATTGTCTCACCCAATGTTCAAGAATGGCCTTTTCCCTTTATTCA